ACAGATTCAGACGTCATCAAAGCATTAATTAACTCGTCCATTTACTGGAACCCCATATCTCGATCACTTCTAGCAACAATGACTTGGATAGCTGCGAGCTTATACGCAATTTCACGATATTGAATAATATAGAGCGGGAGAACAGGTAGGTAGGTGTGTATACAGGGTGCTACAAATTCGAGGTGCGAGCATTGCTATCACGCAAACCTAACAGATACGAAGATGGTATAATTGGGGCAAAGTTCGCCAACATACTCTCAAAAAGACTTCAAGGATTACTTAGTTTTTTGAGAAAAAACAATTTTTTTGAAAATCAGTTTTATTTTTTCCTGTTGTTACTTTTTAGAAAATCAAAAAACGAATTACACATTCTCATAGCCATCTTATCAGGGCTATCTAGTAGTATTTTTAGATTTTCAAATTAGCTGATAATTTGTGAGATACATAGGCAAACTTATTTTTTTAAAATAAGGAGCTGCATTTTTTATTTAAGTTTTTGAAAGAATTCAGTCTCCTGAGTAGAACGATATGCCACACTTTATACAGGGTGTTTCAAAACAAATGCGAAAAACTTTAGGGGGTGATTCCTTGTTCAAAATAAAGGGTAGTTTGCTTTATAAACGTTGGGTCAAAAGTCAACCATTAGGGAGATATCGCGGTACAAAGATGGCGGAAAAATAATGTTTTTATTTTTTATTTTGAAAACGAAAAGAGATAGACTAATGAAATTTTATGGAAGCATTACTGTTATGAAAACACACTTTCAGGTAATTTTGTTACTTTTTTAAAATGAGTGGAAGGGGTTGAAATAAACTACCCCTATCATTCTTGTTAACGAAATTTAAAGAAAAATTTTATCAAACACATACAAATGCTTTAATTTGGATAGTTTAGTTTGTTTAGAAACTTTTTACCTCTTGTGTTTTTTGATAAAACTCACCGATTGGAAATTAAAAAATAAAATGTAAAGCATTACATGTGAGGACAAAAAACATTTTTAGATTAAGAATCTAGTGATAATAACGATAATAATAATCATCTAGATAATAACGTATTGCAGTAGAGGAATGTCAAATAAAATAATATTAGGAACATCCTAAAAAGTAACAGCGGCCGACTAGATTTTTTCCTAAAAAAATTACAGCAGCCCACTAGATTCTTTATCAGAAAATGTTTTTTTGTCCTGACATGTAATGCTTTACATTTTATTTTTTAATTTCAAACCGGAGAGTTTTATCTAGCAAACGAAAAAGGCCTACGTTCTCAAAATACTAAAGAATTAAAACCCATTTTATCAGAGCCAACCATTACTTCACACTTTCGAGTATCTCAACTATAGATTATTCAATATCGTAGCATATACGTCAACAGTCATTACCATCTAAGGCATTGTTACCAGCAATGACCGAGAGATGCGGCTTCGGCAAATGGCCGAGTTAATTAATGCTTTGATGACGTCTGAATCTGCTAGACGGCGGTTTGTAATCCATTATGAATCTTACGCGAGCTCGCAGTAATGAACACACGTCTTGCAGGTAATTCTGTTTATTTCTGTAATAAGATTGATGATGAGGGATATAATGCGGTATAAAGGTAAATAATTACTATTTATTTTACGATTATTGGGTTCTGGATACGGCATTACGAATCTAATTGGTTTTTGTAAGTTATGTGTCCCATAGATAAATGAAACAAGTTTAGATTGGAAAGTGCCCATAAGGACAATGTAAATATACTCTGTTTTTTTTCTCAGGTAAGATTTCTACGTGTATGTTCGAGACGATGACAGAAGAAAAGCAGATGACGTCCCATACCAATCTATTTATTTTACTAAAAAAAGTTTCTAATAATTTTTAAGTTAACTATGGATGGGTTTAAATATAAATCCGTCATGCGTCGTCTCTTGTTGTTTTTAACCAGTTTTATTGGTTTATTTTAAAAATGACAGATCGTATTTCAATTTTATTGGTTTGACGGAACGATGAACGACAAACGGACGCTGATGCGTATGAACTTGCCTTTAGATTTTTGACGCTTGTCAAAGTCTTGCCAAATTATAGGTTATAATTTTGTGTCAACTTTTGTCAAATACCCTGCGTTTTGGAAGATGATGCATTTTGATTCGTGTTATTACGTGTCTTTTGTGTCTTTTGAAGTCAAGTGGAGAAAAAATCGAGTGAAATTTAACTGTAAACCCAGAGCACAGTTTATGGTTAATACTCGCTGCCCAGGCAGAAAGTCTTATAGATACACCAATAAAGTTACCATCAATAAAGTTCGTATACCATCTCGTTGTAGATAAGTGCATCTCGAATATGATAGAAGAACCATACTAAACACATACTAAAAACTGGAGTAGCTATAAAATATCGACATCCACACGATAGGTAAATAATAGAATGGAATTTAGTACTGCAGAAAAATAATGCCAAAAGGTACTGTTTTAAGAAAATTAAGATTAAAGTTAATTAATTAACCTATAAGGTATAAAATTTGGTAAGTGTTATTATTAATAAAATAGTTTGTTTTATTTATGTTGTTTTATTTATTCCTGTGGAATATTACAAATTTATATTTGTACATAAGTTATATTAATAAATATAATCATAAATGCGGGAAGTTTCATAAAGCTTGAAAGTAAGAAATAGTTCTTTTTTATATTTTTTTGGTATGTGTTGTCTTCTGCTTGTTTGTTTTGTATTAACACATACCGTTTTTTATTAAATAAAATAACTTGATTACATTTTTTCAGTTTTATAAAGTTTCTTTCACAATATTTTGAAGTAATCACTTGTCAGTCAAATTTTAAATATATTAACTTCTTGCTATGCGTTCCAGTTGTACCAACTTATTTCTTTGTAAAATAAAATAAACTACTTTGAACTTAAAATGACAGACACATCTATCACTGCCAAGGATCTTCTCGTTGGACAGACTATACTATTTGGCGCTATTCTTGCAACGATCGCGACCCAAAGCTTTTGATAATTTCGAATCGGTTCGGTTTTTTCCGGAATTGTGTCGCCAAATACTTTTTATTCAAATTTATTATTATTTTCTTTTAATTTTATAAATAAAAGACAGTGTGTTGCATACAAAAAACTTAATTTTGTATAAAGACATGTATGAAATACCTATGAAACATTGGAAACCGACGTTATGCCACGATCCACGATGGTTTTTGCAGTTTACAGTTCACAGCACAGCTTTTTAAATTTTTAATGCCACTTTTTCACAATTATCACGGGTTTGAGGAAAAAAAAATTAAATTAAACTCACAAGATAGTAATAATTACTTTGAAAATGGACGCTTTAAACACTTTTCGGTATTTTTTCAATGCGGTTTAAATTTTAAAATATTTTATAATTTTTGAAGATTCTGACTTTGACAAGAGAAAATTATTTCTGTTTTTGTTTGCGGTTATTCTTAGCAACTGCTATAGCAGCGCCAGATCACGTACAACGGTCGCGATCCAAAAGAATTATATATTTTGACGGGCATTCCAATCTAAATTTATTTTCTTAATCTATGATGTGTCCGTTGACAATCTGTCAAAATTTAATGGAATGAAAAATTGATGAATGTGATGATTTATATTTTGATTCCAAAAAAACGCAGTAGTTGCATGTCCACGGAATATTGGAACACCCTGTATTTTAACGAATGTTTATTTTTCATATTTTTCTACATTTTTTGTTGTAAAAATGCTTTTATCGAGCAATATCAGCCAAAACGCGTGTAACAAACAAAAGCTAAATATTTATTACTATTAAAATTTTGTGTCAGCACCCATGTTTTATATATAATTGCACCAATTAATTCCGGTTTTGCCATTTTTTATTTGTTTATTGAGGTTGCACCATAATAATTCCAATAACGCTTGTTAGCAAACTTTTATTTTGCAGCTCTAATAGTTCAGCCGCAGCTTCCTGTTTTAACGATTGTCGAAACAACATTCGAAATTATAATTAGTAAACTTTCTGAACCGTATATTAAACGTCTTTACTTTTCCTGTTTAATCTGCAGAATAGAGGTACTGCGAAAAGAAAAACTTAAAAAGTTTCATCATATGATACCTTTGAATAAGAAGACTAAGGAAGGAGCATAATGCTATCCATGTATTCATGCATGGTGGGCGGAAAAGTCACCATAAAAGCTCTCTAGGGTGGGGATCCTTGACAGTTCTGTTTGACGATTCATTTGACACATTTGAATTTGATTTGAAATTTTGTGGATTTGTCAGTCTTTACGGAGCTTATTTTATGTTATTTATTATTTATTCTACTACTGATAGTTGTATAAAGGTAGTAAATCTAGATGGAAATTGTGGCAGAACTTAAATTAACAGTGACACTATCGCGATTTATCGAAAAAGACTCTAAAATAGTTGGTTGTGTAGCGTGCGGTAGATCTCGGCAAAAATTGAGTGAAATAATGGAACAACTTCTCGCTAGTAAGTGACTATATAATATACATACGTGTAGTAAACCGATCATTTATGAAATTCACTTAAATTAACTAAATTATATCTTTTTCTTGCATTTTAGCTTTTATTTATTACTTGTCAAAGATTAGATGTCAAAGAATTTAGATACGTTAATTTGACTTACCTGCTTCAGTAGCGTATCGGATGTTTGTGTTAATAAATACTTATTATAACTTATCTATTTTTATTAGAATTATATATTTTTTATAACAATTTTAATAACTACCAACATTTATTCACAACGTAAAATAAAACAACAAATTATTGAGTCTACCCTACGTCTACCCTACATCATAGTTTTACATTTTTTTAATAAAATTAGAACGACACTGATAAACCGGAATTTAAGTCGGCCATATTTGAGGCCCATCGCGGTGTACCTAAGATTTTTGATATGCTCCTTCCTTAGTCTTCTTATTCAAAGTATGATACTATAGGAATATTTAGTTATTAAAGTAATTATCATAAACACTGAAAACGCATTATATTAACTCTTTATATTTTTTATTACAGCTATACCTTGGAATGTAATGGTCAAAGAATGGCTATAGGAGCTGAACTAATTAGGGAAAGGAAGTAAAATCCTCCTACTCTGGGTACCAGCCCACCAAGGGATAGAAGGCAATGAAAAAGCAAACGATCTAGCTAGAAAAGGAGCGAAAACTCTACTAACTGGACCAGAACCGTTCTGCTTCCCAAGAAGAAATCAAATTAAACTCAACAGACCTGGAACAACTCAATAACCTGGAAGACTTCATGCGAGTAACCTGGAATGGGAATCATCCAGCGGTCTAAGGTACTAAAACAAATTTCTCAGGATACAACCGAGAAAAATCAAAGATTTTTCTTGATTAGTAAAGTACCAGTCTACTGGATCTGTGTGATCACAATATTGGAGTATGATCAATTTACTACAATACACAATTAAATAAACAGTAATATATTTTATAGATCGCTACCTATATACAAGTGACAGAGTCCACGTGGACTTGACGAGTATGTCACCGCAAGACAGACTCCGCCCACTCATTACATTGGCTAATAATAAATTACAACAATTATTAGGTAATCCAAAGGATAAAACACCTCCACTGGAAAGGTCGGGTATTTATGAAATTTCTTGTAAAGATTGTAATCAGAAATATGTTGGACAAACTAGAAGATCAATATTAACTAGATTTAAAGAACATTTAGCTCAGATAAGATATGGTAGACCGGATAAATCTTGCGTTGCCGAACATATTGTTGATAAAGAACATTGTATAGATCTTAATAATTTAAAATTAAACAAGTCTCAAATTACAGCCAATTAGATGCATATGAAAGAATCAAAATTAATAAATGTAAAGATAGTATGAACAGAGACAACGGTCCAATTCCTTCAAGTTCTTTGTTCCTACTACTCTAGTGGCGGAAATCTAACTGTTCTAAAGGCTCGGTGGGCTCTGACTCGGTTGGCTAAATCTTGCCACGCCCACTCGGTGCCCACTGAGCGAGTATATAAACGCTCAACTTGTAGATTGTAGTCTAGTTTATAATCATCTGCTGATGATGCTTACATGTTTAGCGGAACGCGCGTCTAGTGTAAAAGTAAAAGTATTTTGGTGTATTGTGGTGATTTAGTGTTTCATTTTGCTGACTTGCAAATTTCTAATTTTTCTAATTTTTTACAAGAAATATCCATTAAAACTTTTTTCGAGTTTTTTTATTGATGTTTTATTGTTTTCTTCTTATTATTTTTGAACATTATGTCTCATTTATGTAGAATAACATTGAAAAATGGAACTGATTGGGTATTTTTGAAATATTTGTATAAATGAATTGCCGGCTAAGAGAGAATTTTGTTTTTTTTGTCACTCTAAATCGCTATCTTTTTTTGAACAGATGTCACTTGGTTTGTCATTATTCAATTCATTATTCGAATTCTCAGAATGTTAACACAAGTTTCATCTTAAAATAAGATCTTAATCAATCACAATTGTTTGTCTCCACCATTTACCGGATTAATAATACAAAAATTACAGTTCAATTACAAACAATTCATTATTTATAGTAATTTTATTAAATTATACAAATATTTTCATTGATTATTGGTTTAAAATAAATATGACAGTGTCCTCCATTGAAAATGCGAGTTAGTAACTCGCTCTAAGATCGATATCAATTTTGTGACGCTTGGCGATTTTGGCGTGATGCTTCGCGTAACGCTAGCTCGTGTGTCACATCCTTGAATTTTTACTCCCAACACGCGTAAAGAAGTTTTACTTTAAAAAGGAGGACACAATAGATCTATAAGATGACGGTGGTTAACTTCCCATTTCCCATACATTTTACATTCTACGACTAAAATCACAAATCACTGATTAAATAATTTTATTTCTTTAAAATATATAATTAGTTAATTCCAAGTGAATTTCATAATTAATTTGTTTACTACACATAACGTATATTATTTAGTTACTAATCGGTGAAAAGCTATTCCCTTATTTCTCTCAATTTTTGAGCGAGATCTACGCTGCACTCGACGCTGCACAACTATGTCTTCACACTTTTATTCCGGAACACTTGAAATCAGGCAAGTTTTCTTGAGTTTATCTTACATTTGAATATCTCTAAGGTCTATTTTAGCGCTCAAACTTTTTGCCGGAAATTTATAGTGCTTTAGTCTTTCAGCGAATAAGATAAGTATTTTTTTGGATTATTAGAAAAGTTTGTTTAATTACGTTTCCGCTTGAAACTTGAACATTCATAATAGTTTTGAAATTTAAATTTAAAGCGAATTATATAAGGCTTTTTAAAGCCACAATTAAGCTAAAAAGAGAGAGAAATTAATTTAAAATTTGTATTTTTTAAAATGGTTGTTGTTCATATAAACTTGTTTAATAGATAGACTAGCCATATACAAGGTTATTCACATCATTAGACACGGAATATTGTAGCCACACGATTAGATTTTTAGAAATTGTTACTAAAGTTACAATTTAAAATTATTTTCTAAAAGTACAGAGTGTCCCAAATAAAGAAAAAATATCAAAGTTGTGTTTTTTTAAAAGGAACACCCTGTATATTATTACATTTTTAGTTTCTATGATTAAAATAAAGGTAAATTTAATTAAGGTTTACCGCACTTTTATCTTAGCGTTTTTGAAATATTTACTATTTTGTGAAAATACAGTAACAATTTTAATGCTTCATTCTCTAGGCATATTTCAGTTTTTAAAACAAAATATTGTACTGAAGTTTTTCTATTTACGAAATTTTGTGATGCAATAATAAAAATAATACCACCTTATACAGAGTGTCTAAAAGAGTATTTTAAATAATTACTAGCTTTAAACGACAATAACTTCTCTAATTAAAACCGAACACCCTGTATAATTTATATAGAACCAAATGCACAATTTAATTGTCTATAAAATTGTATTTTACCATTTTTTACCTATCTCTTGAAGTTTTTATAGAAAATGCATTTTCTTATAATTTAGACCTTATTTATCAATACAGGGTGTTTCAAAATATATGTGCCATCTCTCGTGAGGAGATTCCTCATGTAAATATAAAATTTATTTTTCATCAGGGGCGGGAAAGTGAAATAGCAAAAGCGGTTCCACCGTTTCCATGGAAATTTCAAATAAAATATTTCCAGCCTCAGCCGCTAGGTGGTAGTGCAATTAATTTTTAGGTTAAAAAGTTGCTACTAGTTATTGCCAGATGGCGTTCAATCAGATTTTTTTTGTAGTTGCCATAGTTTCCAACGGCCATTGTCATATTATTGTTAAATTCTCAAAAAATATTGTCGTTGTCATAGCGCCAATCATAATATTATCAAAAATAATTATCGAAACCATCAAAACATTTTTCAAAGTAATTTGTTATATGTGTTTTTATTAGACAATTCATTTTGTTTGTGGCCCTAAAAATATAATGTAAGTCATTTATTTTTGCTATCATTTAAGTACCTATTTATATTTACTCCATTTACAAAATTTTGGGCGTATTACGTTGGTCTTGTTTTATTATAATAAACGATGTTTAAATATTCGACTTATAATTAAAATCTTTAAATAATAAATAATATTTACACATGTTTGGCTTTAATTTTATTTAATAGTTGTATAAATTATACTGTTAAATCCTTTGAATAAGAAGACTAAGGAAGGAGCATATCAAAAATCTTAGGTACACCGCGATGGGCCTCAAATATGGCCGACTTAAATTCCGGTTTATCAGTGTCGTTCTAATTTTATTTAAAAAATGTAAAACTATGATGTAGGGTAGACGTGGGGTAGACTCAATAATTTGTTGTTTTATTTTACGTTGTGAATAAATGTTGGTAGTTATTAAAATTGTTATAAAAATATATAATTCTAATAAAAATAGATAAGTTATAATAAGTATTTATTAACACAAACATCAGATACGCTACTGAAGCAGGTAAGTCAAATTAACGTATCTAAATTCTTTGACAAGTAATAAATAAAAGCTAAAATGCAAGAAAAATATATAATTTAGTTAATTTAAGTGAATTTCATAAATGATCGGTTTACTACACGTATGTATATTATATAGTCACTTACTAGCGAAAAGTTGTTCCATTATTTCACTCAATCACAACCAAACTATTTTAGAGTCTTTTTCGATAAATCGCGATAGTGTCACTGTTAATTTAAGTTCTGCCACAATTTCCATCTAGATTTACTACCTTTATACAACTATCAGTAGTAGAATAAATAATAAATGACATAAAATAAGCTCCGTAAAGACTGACAAATCCACAAAATTTCAAATCAAATTCAAATGTGTCAAATGAACCGTCAAACAGAACTGTCAAGGATCCCCACCCTAGAGAGCTTTTATGGTGGCTTTTCCGCCCACCATGCATGAATACATGGATAGCATTATGCTCCTTCCTTAGTCTTCTTATTCAAAGGTTAAATCTTATTTTTTACACATCACAACGATACTTGTTATTAGTATTGTTGAATTTGAAATAATTAAAAAAGCCCGCGCTTCGATCCATTTAAAACGAGCCCTACTCAATAGATGGCGCCACTTCTGTAGGACCATTTTTCAGTATGGCAGAGTCCATTCTTTTTCTAGCTAGGTATATTCTTTGTTTTTCATATCAACACGGGTCCGATTCTGCTTTGTTTCGTAGCTACAGGGTGTTAAAGTCTTCATAATTTTTCGATTTATTATAATTTTTTTCCAAGTACTTTTAGCGATTCGAATGAAATTTTGAGGGTAAAAGTTACCATAAGCGCTACACATTTTAATGCTAAAAAAGTGTCATTTCAAAATTTTTATTTTTTTTCGCTTTAATCATAATGTTCTTTCAAGTGCTTTTAGCGATTCCAATGAAATTTGGAGGGTAAAAGTTGCATATATGGGTTATCACTGGAATATATTTTTTTCTAAAAAAACATGTACGCCACTGACTTTATTTCCTGTTATATTGTATAAGCCATTTAATTAAAATTGTTTTTTGATATTTTGTCTATTTCGATCTCCTAGATGAGATCTCCTAGATGCAATTTTATTAATCACAGTTAATAAAATTAATAAATTATTTATTTAATGTAATTTATGACTAAATTTTGTTAAAATATATAACACTGATCTACAGTGCTACCAAATCTAGCAAATTCCTCAAAAAAGTGGTATTTAAGATAATTAAAAAGTTTTAATATCATGTAACTTTAAAACTATGCACTTCCGCACCCATGTTTATAGGAACTTTTTTTCATATTTTTTGATGAGGAATCAATGAGTACTTAATTAACACACTGTAAAGTTAATGGCATTATTTTTTTTAAGGTTGTTATTAGAATTAGATTAACACAAATTAATTAAACTGCGTTTATCTCATCAAGGAGAGCGAAATCGACAAAATATCAAGAGACATCTTTGAATCAGCATTTAGCGGTCCACTCAATTTTGCTAACAAGCGAAAAAAGTCAGTGGCGTACATATATATATTTTCTTAAATATTCCAATGACAACCCCTATGCACGCCCCTGGTGAATATGTCGACACTTTTTCAGCATTAAAATATGTGGCACTTATTGC